GTTGAAACGCTTAGAACAACTTACTAGGAAAAAAGAAGCGAACAAAAGTTCTAGAAATGAAAAATGAGCTTATTAAAATGAACTCAGTTACCTATGCAAATAAGACGTAGTTGAAGAAGATAATTAGTTGAATATAATGCAGCATAGAAAGATAATGAAATGCAATTATAGAGTTGAGAGACATACTGGATAAAATGAGAATGTTTAGCATATGTATAATAGGAGTTCTAGAAGGAAAGAATAGGGAAAATGAGGAGGGGAGAGGCGTATTTAACGAGAAAGTAGTTGAGAATATTCAAGAATGAATAAAAAACACAAATATTCATATTCAAGAAACGCAAGTGTCTTAGTAGGAAACTATCATAGTGTAACCACAGGACACTAGAGACAAGAGGAGTTCTTAAAAACAATCAGAGAGAAAAGGCAAATTATGTGGAAGGGAAACAGCAGTAAGACTGTCAGCAGATCTCTCAACAGAAATACTGTTTCATCTAGTTCTGCCTCTGCTGGAAAGTGCCTGAGTCGTTGGAGGGTGGAGATGGCCAATGTATTGTTTCTCGTTTATAAAAGATGCTTATAAATCTGGGACCTAGACTAATTTTTGCCTATGACTTTAGGAATTCTCTAACTATTGCCCAAATTCCAAGGTGATCTCAAACGATTTCATATTATTTCATAATTCAAACAAATTTTCCCAGTGTTCTTTAAACTGATTTGTTGAGTTAAAACAGGGGAGGTGTTAGGTATTATCACATATTCTTTTGCATTATAGTTTTATATTATATGCTGAGTTGGGGTTTGAAAATTTATACTAACTCTTACCATGACTTTTTTACTTATGTGTTCATAGAAACAAAAGCTAAAGTAGATTTAACAATTCAGTATTTTTTCTCCGTAAATTACTTTCCTTCATCAGTGGCGTGCTGTTACCCTCTCTGAGGTTCTGCTTTTGGCAGTTATGGAAGTATTATTTTTGGAAATGAGAGAATCAGTTTTTTTCCTCCATTTGAGATGCAAGTTTTTGGACCATCTGTGTTCTTGGTTCAGTCAGTGAAGGAAATAATACAAATCTTTTTAAATTCGATATGACTGAAGATAGCTCATTGTTTTCTATTAGGATATGCATACTTTCTGCTAGTATTGTTTCTACTAGTATTCTCAATGTAGTAAGTAGCCTTGGTTTAAGGATTTCTTTTTTCTTTATTTTTCCTTTCTTTTTTTGCCTAACCTGGCATGTTAGGATGATTAATTTATATAGGGATTGTAAAAATTCAAATGTTGTTAGTACTCTAATTATCTTACTCATTTTTGCTTTTTAAACCTACCTCCTCCGGAATGTAAATAGGATCTAAATATTCACACACATTGTTCTTTGCAGTATCTAGCTGAGCTCCTGAAAATGTCATCGTTGACCTTTACTTCCGCCCTAACTGGATGGCTCAGCACTTTCCTCTCCTCTCAGGAATGATGCTTGGCCATCTGGTTAATCATCTTAATAAGAAAAAGCCTTGGACCATAATCTCACATACCACACATGTTCTCACTTCCACCTTCTGCAAGTAGTCAAGTTTAAAATAACAGTAAATGTTAAACCAATCAACACTTGAAAAATGTTAGAGGATAGTAGAATGCAAATATGTATTAAAATGTATACCTATTTTAAAGTAGCGATATGAGGATTAACCAAGGGTTGAAATCAATATTTGTAGGAATATAGAAGCATTAAAAAAATTAGATAATGAAGACCTGTGTTTTGGAATTGTTCCTTTTGGTTTTCCTGTAGTATTTTTAAAATAGGTAGATACAAAACCTTAATCTACCTTGTTCTTTATAGAATAATATGTTAATACAAACTGTCCTCTATTATCAGATTTACAAAAAATGTGGCACTCACATGGTTAAAATCACATTTCAAAAATTAAAATGGTATTAGTTCTGTTACTACAGTAACCATTAAGATAATGCCATGTTATTTTATTTGAATTCCTTTGTCATTTCTCTCCTTCCATCTCCCTTGTATCTTTTAGATACACTTAAATTAGGAAAAGCTAGCCAGTTAGTTCCGTTTTATCATGGTAATGAACTGTTGGTTAATTGGAAGCTAAAATATTAACTTTTTTATTGAGGTATAATTGACATAACATTATATTAGTTTCAGGTGTACAACATAGTGATTTGATATTTGTTTATATTCCAAAATGTAAAATATTAACTTTTAAAGTAATCTTGAATTGGCTTCTTATTATGAAAGCAATACATGTATTGCTTCAAAATTAAAAGTCAAAAGTAATGTGTATTTGATATAATAAATGCAATGTTAGAAATACTACAGATAAGCAGCAGAAGAAATTAACAGTCACTGCTGGAAAAGAACCACTGTTAACATTTTGATACTTACTATTGTGTTACATTTTCCTGTGCATGTTTTAAAAAATGAGATTGTACTGTATAGTGTTGTGACCTTTTTTATTATTTAAAAGTATACTGTATTAACATTTTTCTCTTGTGAAAAATTCTTTTACCACACAATTTTTTATCCATCATAATACTGGATGGATTTTTAACACATTTTTCATCTTTTCATTTAGAATTTAAAAAGGAGTTGAGGACAAATGTTCTAAGGATAAAATGAATTTTTATAATAGAATTCATAAAATAATTAGCACTTTTTACTAATCAAAATGTTTAGTCTGTTAAACTAGGAAAAAAGGCAAGGGGATCTTTTGAAATGAAGAAAAATTTATTATGTAGAACTATTAAAAGAAATGATCAAGGACATACATATTTCTTCAGATCCATCCGGGATTTGTGGGTTTTTCTTTTTTGTTTTGAGTGAAATCTGAGCTTTAACAACAGCTCTAGAACCTCCATCCTTGAGGGAAGTGGTGTAGCGCCCTCCCCACCACCTGCTTGACTTCTGCCCTTTCAATGCCTTGGTATCCTCCCGTGATAAATGTGGATGTTAATCATAGATAGCACTTTCTCATAGGATTATTGCATGGATTAAATGAGATAGCAAATGTAAAATGCTTCATATGGTGCCTGTCCCCTAGTACAGAGAAAACCCGCTGCTCTTTAACAAAGCACCCTGTGTGTGCCTTTCTTCACAATTCAGATTATATCAGTACCCAGTGGTTAGTGGGAATAGAAGTTCTTATTTTCTGAGGATTTCAGCCAACCAAATAAATGAGAATTATTATTGTTTGTAGTATAAATCATAAATGATTGCAGAGAATTCCAACCTAATCAAATATTCAGGGAAATTTAAAAGCTTTTCAAACTCAGTTTTACTTGTAAATTGCTTAAGACATCTTTAAAAGTATATTTTGTTTGGTTTGTGCGTTTTTTAATAAAAATGTCTCTCGGCTACAAGTTTCGTTCAGGCTTTAAGTATTGGTATTCCCCAGGATTCTGTCATCTGCCTGAGGTGATCACTTCTGTTTACTCCCTTGACTTCAGCTCTTATACCCACGTGGCGATTACTTCCAGATAATTATCTTCAGCTCATCCCTCTCTTTTGAGTTTCACTGATTCTAGTTGCTTACTAGACATCCACATGTGGTTCTCCCAGGATGTCTCCAACTCTACACACGCAAACACAGTATCTCCCATCTTTTCCTCACCCCACATCATCAGCTTTTCCTTCTGTCTTAGTGAATTGCGTTCCTGTCTCCATCCAGCTAGTCATCAAAGCCGGATGCCTGGCCTCTTTCTCTTGCACCCCTCACTTTCAGTGTCACCAAGTAATACTGACTTTGCCTCCTGAATATCTTTATGTAGTGCTTCTCCTCTCCTTCTCCACTCCCACTGCATTAGTTAGACCCACATCCCTCCTCAGGACTATTGCAACAAGCCTTCGTACTGGTCTCTCTGCCTCCCAACTTGCCTCCCATTCCCCCAGGCTGTGCAGTCCCATTGCCATAGTGGTATTCCTAAAGCCTAAATGTGATGGTCTCCCTCTCATGCTTAGAAATTTTGTTAGCTCCTCGTTATCTAGATAATAAAGTACAACCTCCCTAGGTAGGCAAACGAGACCCCTCATGATGTGGATACTCTTCCTTGTCCAGAATTTCTCTGTGACCTCATCTGCTGGCAGTTCTGCCCTGGCATTCTGCTCTCCGGCAGTTCTGTGCACACGGCCTGACAGTTCTCACTTCCCTCCCTGCCTTGGCACGCTCTTCCCTTTGCCTTAATGCGGACCCTCCTCTTCCTGTTGAGTGAAGCCTTCTGGACCACCTTTCTCCCCTCCCACACAACAGAGAGCTACCAGTTCTTCCTTTGTACTAGCAGAATATTTTTATGTTTGTTTTCAGTGTTTTGAAATTCTTCGTCTGCTTGTTAGGCTTTCCCCACCAGCCCCACCCCATCAAGGCCAAGGGACTCGAGTCATTTTAGCATCCATGGGCATAGCCGGTCCTTGGCATAGGGAAGCTTTTAGTAAAGGACATGAAAAAATTGTCCATGAACCTGAGGATTTTTAGAGGGGGAAGCAATATACTTAATGGAGGAATGCATAATTCTATCATATTTTTTTAAATGGCATGTGGCAGAAGGGTTAGATTGACTTTGTGTGGCTGTAGATGGCAGAGTTCAGTCAGCAGAGAAGCAGACTTCTGGTTCAGCATAATGAAGAGCACACGGAGAATTGTGAAACAGCAGTGCTGTCCTGCCTTCAGTTGGAGTCTGGAGTCAGTTTGCGTTACAGTCTCGGCTTGGTCACTAGATTTGGTCTTCTCTGGGTCTCAGTTTCTTTGTTTTTTGACAGAAAAATGGAGATTATAGTAGCTCATATGGTTATTTTGAGGGCTAAAGAAATAACATTTCAGGGTGCCTAGGCTAATGTCTGACATTGAATAGTGCTTAATAAATGTTCATTGAATTTTTATTAGGCTCATCTTTCTGGGTACTTTTAGCAAAACCTTACCCTCACGTTAAGTATAAGCAATGTGTGTGCATAAATTGACACTGTATAAAAACCAATTGCTTTTTTTCCTTCAAAGATTTATTCATTGTACTGATGATTCCCCAGATCCTTGTATGGAATATGAGGTAAGAAACTTTTTTTTTTAATCTTGATGAAGTTGATAATCCTAGTTAAGATGTATTGAGAATTGCTCTTTATTCTTAAGTAAAATGAATGAAAATTTTTGGATTAATTTCTCTAGGAACCTAGAGCCATTAAATTTTTAGATTTATGAAATATATCAGTCATATAAAAATATATATTCTATATGTGCATATATATACACACACAGTATATACACACTACGGAGTATAAATATTTTATAATAAAACAAACACTTTTATACTCACTATCCAGCGTAACCTGAATAGCCTTTTTAACTTAGTATACAAGGAAAATAGTCATCACCATTTTACAATTTAGGCCTAGTGGACCTTTTTATTTTTTTATATTGGTCACTCATTTTACAAGTTAAATACAGAAGTAAGAATAAAAGGGAAGTGAAAAACTTTGTTAGAAATAGTAATAAGAATTTAAACATAGCAAACCCACATTTTTATTCCGTATTTTCCTAGTTTGAAGGTATTCACATACCACATGCACACACCTACCCCTGAGATGGGCAGTGTTCTTGGATATAACTAACTGTCCATCAGCTGTTATGAATGATTCTGGAACATACTTTTCTTTTAAAAGCTGATTCCAGTTTCAACTACCTCCCTGATAGGTTCTTGCATATCATTACTCTGGGTTTTTCTTGCGCTTGCATTGTCAAAAAGTAATGCTTTTGAAAACTTCGACAGCTCATAATTTGTTGAGGAGAGGATGGCCATCGTTGCTCCATAATTGCAAAACATTTGCATTCTTAGATTTATAATACCAATTAGAAGTAGTCGAATGGTTTTTTAAAATTTCTTCATTGTCTGTTTGCTTCCAGTCACCTTTGTATATACACATGCTTTCAAAGTATGGCCACTGACTCACTGTATCAGGTAGTTTTTAGTGTGTTGCCTGTGTGTATTGGCATATCTTCTGTGATCATGCCATGTGTCTGGGGCAGTTAATTTGCTGTTCACCAGGCCACCAAACAATTACTAGGTCTTTTAGTGCTTGTAATTGAGGTTTTTACCTGCCATTTGTGAGGGTTTTTTTTACTTAATAGCATATTATCAGCATTTTCCCAGATCATTAAACATCTTTTATAACATTATTTGTATGTATACAATATAATCACATCTCTTGTTTCACTGAACAGATGTCTCTTAAACATCTTCTGTATCTTGTTACTTTGTGCTGGAAACACAAAAATGAAAAATATTTTTTCTCTAGCTTTGCACTGAAGCATAATCTTTGTTGAGATATCATCATCGATCCCTAAGATTTATTTTGCCATCAGTTTGCTCTTTTACTGCTTTTTGGGGAATATGCATCATCATGTTAGTGCATGGGGTTTAAAACCCAATTTTAAGAGCCCAGGAAAGTGATATTCTTTTGAGTGATTAAACTGAAAAAAGTTGCAGGCAGTGTATTCAAAAAGATATATACATGCACCATATGCTCATATATTCATAGAATACTTCCGGAAAGCTATACAAGAAATTGACAGCATAGGTTGCCTCTGAGTAGGAGGACAGAGGGGCTGGATGGGAGGAGATTCACCTTTTACCCTTTTGTATTTTTTAAATCAACCACAATGTGTGTATGTATTGTCCAAAACGTTATTTCAACACAGATTGTGCAAATTTTCCAAAAAATTAATGTTAGTATGGAACAATTGCTTATTTCTTTGTTGCTTAAATAAAAACCGCTGTAGCCATAAAAAAAATATATTTGCCAGTACAGGCTTTTAATGGATAAGAACAGTGTAATTTTTAGTTTGGGGTTCTTCATTTAATAATTAGGTTCTTTTTAAAACTGTGACACATACCAAAGCTTACCGAAGAGCTCACAATAATGAAAATTGAAATCAGTGCATTTTAAATTTCTGAGGTATATTTTAACAGTACAGTTTTTTTTTTTTTTAAAGAAAAGCAACTTCCTATCAAAAATTTAAAAATACAAGAAACTATAAGGAAGCTACCACCCAGATACAGCCTCAGTATTCACATTTTGGCCTTTACTTCCCCTTTTTTTGTGTGTGTGGAAGATCAGCCCTGAGCTAACATCCGCCAATCCTCCTCTTTTTTTGCTGAGGAAGACTGGCCCTGGGCCAACATCCGTGCCCATCCTCCTCCACTCTACATGAGATGCCGCCACAGCATGGCTCGACAAGCGGCATGTCGGTGCGTGCCCAGGATCTGAACTGGCGAACCCCAGGCCGCCACAGCAAAGCGCATGCACCTAGCCGCTTGCGCCACTGGGCCTGCCCCTGCTTCCCCTTTCTTGAGATATGTGTGTATCTGTGTGTGTGCATGTGTATATACACACTCTTCATAAAATACTTTGTATACAATTCTTTTTCACTTCCAGCATAGTGTGAGCATTTCTTCAGTTCATTAAATATTTTTTATATCATGATTTTTAGTGGCTGCTTGTCTTATATATTTGCTGTTTCACTTGACAAACATTTCTTAAGCACCTGCTAGGTATTACATACTTGTGCTGGAGACACAAAGATGAATAAGACCCAGGTCCTCACCTTTAGGGAAGTTGCTGTTTAGTAGGGAAGAGACTTATACCAAATTATTGTAGTACAACATGGGATGTATGTGCTTACTCGCAAATGTTATACACAAGAAACTGTGGGCAGCACTGCATATGGGAAGGGAGGATGCTGAGCCCACTGGGGGATTCTGGGAATGGGTCTCGAAGGGAAAGAGCTATATGCTGGGATAAGGGAGGCGGGAGGCACTAGTCTTTATTACAATGAATACTTCGAAAGAACAGGACTAGTTTTCTCCAAAGAACAGTTTAAAAACTGACTCAGAACCATACATTTCAACTGTACTATTTATAAAATCGCAGCAATTCAATAGTATATGCATAGTATACTAACTAATTACAGTAAAAAGACCCATTTATGACTTGAGCCTCTGATAGAATTGGTTTACTTTAAAATAACGGGAAAGGCATGGAAGCGTTATAGTGATTCTTGGTGGTAAACCATAACAATAATTTTATCAGAGTAAGTGTTACAGAGGTGGTCTAGTGGTTAAGATTCGGTGCTCTTCACTGCCACAGCCGGGGTTCATTTCCTAGTCAGGGAACCACCCCACCCATCTGTCAGTTGTCATACTGTGGCAGCTGCATGTTGCTGTGATGCTGAAGGCTCTGCCACCAGTATTTCAAATACCAGCAGGGTCACCCATGGTGGACAGGTTTCAGTGGAGCTTCCAGACTAAGACAAACTAGGAAGAAGGACCTGGCCACCCACTTGTGAAAGAGTTGGCCGTGAAAACCCTATAATAGCAGTGGAGCATTGTCTGATGTGGCACCAGAAGGTAAGAGGATGGTGCAAAAAGTCCAGGCACGGTTCCGCTCTGCTGTGCACATTTCCGCTAGGAGTCGGAATCGACTTGACGGCACTAACAACAGAAGTATTACAGAATGGTGCTTAAGGTAGATAATTTAAAATTATTTTATTGTTTGATATTCTTAAAGGAGAGAAGAACGTATGAATTACAGGGCAACTTATGGCACAACAGTGATAAGATTTGACTTCATCATCCTTGGGGTTCTGTTTTATGTCATAACTCTCAAAACGATATATATATATAATGACAAAGATGTATTTCATCATAAAGAGTTTTAACACAATTTCCCCTGCTTATTAGACTAATAGATTGCAACTCTAATCCCTACATCTCATGTGAATTGTGTTTTATGATGCCTCTTTTTTTTTTAACCATTTGATAATGGCAGTTGTTAAGACATAGTCTTGGCATAAAATTGTCTATTAGACCAGTAAGCGTTCCGTGTTATGTAGTTGTATTATATTTTTTCCTTTGTCTACAGCTTGTTCTTCGAAAATGGTGTGAATTAATTCCTGGGGCTGAGTTCCGATGTTTTGTCAAGGAAAACAAGCTTATTGGTGAGTTTTTTTTACCCTTGAAAGTAATCATAAAAAGAAGACAATCTTTTGAGGGAAGTAAATTTCTAGTAATTAGGACAGGGGTAACAATCAGTTTTTGTCTCAGATGCTACCTCTAACCAGTTGATACTGACTCTCTGGAATGCTATAGTATTGACAAGGCTCCTGAGGCCATAGTCAGTCTCCACAGAAAATCGTCTTGTCAATTAATCATGTCTGTTTGGATTCCAGAGATGAAAGGATGGTCTTTACCATTCCCAATTTAGGATATATATAATACTACCTGCTTTCTCTTTGGGACTTTCCTAAGTATTACCAGCAATACTTTCCTTATTTCAAGTGGTATAAAAACACAAGTTTTTGAACCTTTATTTCTATTATTAGAGCACTGTTTATTATTCTAGCAAGAGAAAAGATGTGAACAAATAAGTGTATTACTTTAAAAGCCACCCATTTTCTTTCTACTCGGGTTATTATTTTGTTTGCTGTGAATTTTTCAAGTCAAATATTGAAGATAATTTGTTCTTTTTCTATCCATGTTTTCCATGAAGTAAAATTTATCTTCAACCAAGAAAAGTGTGATTTGAACAGAATTAAATCAATGTTCTTTATTTATTGAATGTGATGTTGACATTTATTAACTCACCTAAAAGAAACTTGAAGTGTTTGAATTTATCATGTTATTAGATATTCCTGAAAAAAACTGGAGTAAAAGTGCAGCTAAAGAAGGGAGCCATATTGAAGTGTGATTAAGGATTTGGATGGAAGCCCTTCTTTCAGAGCAGAGGCCTTTTTCCTAGGACTAGAGCAAATTGAGGGAGTTCTTACAATAGTCTTTTTAATGTATTTGGAATAATATCAGCAAGGCACTCTGAAGAAAGGAATGTTTACTTTTCCATGGCTTGAAACATCAGGCTTGTGAAGGCAGGGTAGCATGTATGAACAAGAAAAGTAGACTGCTTCTATGAAATATAATATCAATGTGGAGGACATATGGTAAGGAATATTTAAAATTTTCCCAAAGAAAGTGGAAAAGAATACCAGCTTGTAGAGAATTCATTGGAAAAAATCAAAGAAGAAGCAATTGACCTATGTTGCAGGTTTACAATTGCTGCTTTCATTTTTTACCTAATAAGCATTTTTACAACTTTGAATTCTTTTCATTGTACTAAATAAAAATAGCTACTATTTCCAAAGTAAGAACACATGGCAATATGGAACTTTAGGACTCACCTATCCACATGAACCTTTATAACTGTTATGTTTTTTATCTATATAAAATGCTGAATGATGTATAATGCAGTATTCATCTGATTGGGCTTCTGATCTACTTTAATGGTTATCTCAAAAAGAGGTTTAAATCACATTTTGCTGTGTTTGAAAAGAATATCGTGTGATAACGGAGTATAAAATATTTTCTTGTCAGGTATTTCTCAAAGGGACTACACGCAGTACTATGATCATATTTCTAAACAAAAGGAAGAAATTTGCAGATGCATACAAGACTTTTTCAGGAAACACATACAGTATAAATTCTTAGATGAAGACTGTGAGTATTTTTTATTGACCCAGTGAAATGAAATGAAATACGTAATGTTACTGAACCTTATTTCACCATGGTGCCTATTTTAAAACTGGATTCAAAACAATGTATTTTAAGCATTTCTGTATATTAACAATTTGATATCGCTGATGGTTTGCATGTTAATTTTACCTTATTTAATCAGAGTCCCTTTTCAATACTGAGACAGTTCTCTCTCCTGTCATTTTAGATATATATTTCAAAGAGTCTGTCTACAGAGAACACAGGGCTTCTGTTATTAGGTCTAAATTAGCTAGCTAACTGATCTGCCTTTCTAGATGTTTTATTTGAATGATCAGATAGCACCATTACAAAGTAAACATTTGTGAGTTGTTTTTAAGAACTGAAAGTAATATTATGTAGGAGAGAGAGTTTTCATGCATCTTAAAATTATAGCTGCTATGATTTACATTTTCTCTACTCGCCAAGCCTGGGTTCTATGGCAGATTTGATTTAAAAAAAAGATTAATCATGACATAAGCATAGCTAGATTTTATGCTTTCCTACTACAAGTTTTACTCATTTCATCCCCATCAAATAAGTGAGTGATTGCTGCTTGTGTCACTAGTCTGTATAACCTATTTATAATGGGGAACTGGTTGAGATGATTGTGGCGTTTGGTTTGAATTTTTAAATATAAGGGATTATGGTTGAGGGTAGAGAACAAGTAAGCAAAATTATCTAAATAAAACATTGCAGGATGACTTTTTATGTTTGAAGTTTTGAGATTTAGAAGCATGAAATCCTCAAGGTCAATTATATTCTGTTGTCTGAGTACCTAATAATAAAATGCATTTTAATTTTCAAAAGGGGGCTTAGATTATGAAAATGGTAATTCATTATTAACTTTGAGTTTTTTCTCCTTTACAGTTGTGTTCGATATATACAGAGACAGTAGGGTAAGTCAAAACTATATTTGATATGCTTTAAAAATCAGAGCTGGTCTTATAAACAAGATGCCAGTAGGGATAAAATTCCTTCATTCATGAATTATGTGTGTAAAGGGCCCACTACTTAAAAAATATTTTCTAAAACCATCTAAGCTGTTTGAAATTCACGTGATCAAGAACTTCCCCTTAAAATATACTTATCAAGAGAAGACATGATATCTTCAGTAATTATGTGTCACAAGTTTAGGGCTTATTAATTTAACAGATGGCTAAATGGCCACCTTAAGTCTTATTTTCCACTTTTGTCAGGGTGCTGGGCCTGCTTAACATAGTTTCATTTGCACACTTATTTTTTTATTTTTTATTTTTTGTGAGGAAGATCGGCCCTGAGCTAACATCTCCAATCCTCCTCTTTTTGCTGAGGAAGATTGACCCTGGGCCAACATCCATGCCCGTCTTCCTCTACTTTATATGGGACGCCACCACAGCATGGCTTGACAAGCAGTGTGTTGGTGTGCGCCCGGGATCCAAACCGGCGAACCCCGGGCCGCTGCAGCAGAGTGCGCGCACTTAACCGCTTGCGCCAGCAGGCCAGCCCCCTGATTTGCACGCTTAAATGTGGCCTGGAATTTGTCATTTGTTATTTAAATAATTATTTTTTATCTTTAGACTGAAGATGAGGATTACTATAGTTTGCATTTATTCTTCAGATCTTACAAGTGATGAAAACTTCTGTAATGAAAAAGAAAACAAAAACCTGACTTAATAAATCCTAAAGCAGATTTCACTATCAAGACATGCTGTCTTTCCAAAGAAATTTGGGTCACTAAATGTCATTGACTTAACTGTTAAGACAGCAGGTGTGTTTTCCAAAAATGTGACCCATATGTTTCCCAAATGTCACCCACATATTTCTCATTCCTTCTTTATGCTCGTATCAGCCTCACAGTGGTGCTTGTGATACCTTTGGATCATTTTTTGGATAAAAGGATATGGCCCCCTATGGTCATGTCCCAAAATAACTGTTAACTGTTTACTTAACTCTCTTACGCCAAAAGACATCACTTACTCTATTTTCACATCTCTGTCTGCAAGAGTGATGGTATCTATTGAGAATTAGAGTTATAAATTGAGATTTGGTAAAGAAGAGGGATGTTACTTGGTAAAGTTTCAACTTAGCGGAAACAGACCTTAGAAAAAGGACGGGAAGCCAGTGTAATGGAATGGATAGAAACTCGAGCTAATGGACAGGAGCCCAGGGCCCTAGTCCCGGCTCTGCTTCTAACGTCCAGTCATTCACACAGCCAGCATTTATCGAGAGCCTGTAATGTGTTAGAGGCCGTGCTTCTAACAAGAAGCTTCCAACAAGATGATCCCCTTACCTTCGAGGAGCTTATCTTCGAGACTTAAACATTTCAGGGAATTGGCCTGGTAGCAAGCAGGATCAAATCAATTAGTGAGTGAGTAAACCTAGCCCATTGCCCTGAATGTGCAGCTCAGAGGAGCTTTATTCTCATTTAATTCAGTATCTCTCTTAATCCATATAACCCTGTGAGGTATGTATTATTGTTCCTATTTTACAGATATTAAAACTGAAGCAGTTACACTTTAATGCAATTATATTTCATGGCATTTGAAAATTTGAAATTTGCCTAGGTCTCTCAATATTTCCCTGGCAAATACCCAGGTCTGCTATGATTCAGTAGGGCTGGCAGGTCGCTGTAAATGTGTAACTCGATGAAAGAGTTACATAAATGTCTTAAGTAAAGTTGGACATGTCCCTAAGGAATAACTGCTGTGACTGTACAGAACTGAAGTTGCATGCTTCTAAAGTGAGAAACATGCTAGTATAAACGTCCTGACAGTTTCTGAGAAGAGATTTAAACCACGATGTAAAACTCATTTGCGTTTATTCAGTGGCACTTGTATCACCGTTTTTAGGCACTTTCTTGAATATATGATTTTGTGACTACTCTTGTAGAAACTGACTCTTCTTTCATTGTGGTCTCTTATATGAAATACAACTGAAGGGTGCTAGAGCTTGGCAACACTTTGATGTGTCTGTTTTCTTACTGCGCTGGGCAAGTTGACTCAGTGTCAGTAGATTCTAACAGTCATATGTCAGAGCGATGGCCCACCCATTCAGTAGGTCTGGGACGAGAACTTGGGATATGTATTTTAAGAAGCTCCTTAAGTTTTGATAGTGCACAACTAGAATTTAGAATAGCTACCTTAAATATTTGAAAAATTATTCCGGTCCCCTTATGTATACTTTTGGTTATGGTTATTGTTTTGTTATAAATTTCACTGCTTTATGGACTGTGTCTGATCTTGAGTCTTTGCTATTGTTGAGATTGGTTTTACAACTTGGTCACTTTTTTATAACTGTGTGTTATATGTGATTGAAAAAGAGTACAGTTTCTAATGTGTGAAGTAGTATGTAGATGTTTGTTAGATTCAGCTTGTTAATAATGTTCTTAAAATCATCTGCATCTTCTGAATGAAATGATATCTGAGGATTGCTTCAAAATAATACAGATTTGGGGGGAGTGGATGGGATATAGATGAAACAAGATTGGCCATGGGGATCAACAAGGTAACTGTTGAAACCAAGTGGTAGGTACGTGGGATTCTTTATGCTATTTTGTCTACTTTTGTATATGTTTAAACTTTTCCATATAAACATTTTTAAAAAAACTTTAAAAACCATGAAAAAATCCATATGTTTCCTAAACTTTTGCCTACTTGATCTGTCAGTTACTGAACAGGGTATATTAAAATCTCCTGCTTTCTAATTCTGTCAGTTGTTGTGTTACGGACTTTGAGATTATGTTCTTAGACAAATGCTAGTTCATAATGGGTTTATTTTCCCAGTGAATGCTCATCATTAGGCAGTGACCCTTTATCCCTAATAATGCTCTTGTGCTTTTTGCATTAAAGTATATTTTGTCTGATATTAATAATATTATTATAGTTTTCTTTTGGTGTTAGTTTTATCTTTTCAATCCTTTTATTTTTTGCTGTTATGTTTTAGGTGTATGCATATATCTTGTGAATAGCATATTGCTGCCTTTTGCTTTTTTAATCACTGACAATTTCTGGTTTTAACTGGTGAGTGTAGTTTGCATTTATTATATTTGCTATTTGACTGTTTTCTACCATCTTGAGTTTTCGATTTGCTTTGCTTTTCTGTGCTTTTTTTCTCCTTTTACTGGTTTTTCTTGATTCTTTCTACCCCCCTGCAAATGATTTTGAAGTTTTGTTGTTTATTTCTGTTATTTTGGTAGTTACATAAATCTTCATATGGATATTTAATAAGCTCTAAAGTTAATTTCACTTCCTGTCACCCTCATGAAGCAAGGACACTAATTCCCAGCACCCACTTTTGTCTTACAGGTGATTTCTGATTTTGACTTCCACTTTGTATTTATACCCAAATTAGTTGTTATTGTTGCTGTTCAGTTTCTTGGATCACCATTGCTTCTTACCTGTCACTGCTTTTTGAATCTGGTTTCTCTCTAGTAGCATATCCTTTAGGAGTAAATCCCCTCAGCCGGTGGCTGGAAGAGTTTCTTTTTAGCCTTCGTGCATGATGATGGGCTCAGCTGGGTATAGAATTTTCACTTGACCGGTTCTGTTGCCTCAGCACTTTGACGACACTGTTCCATTGTTGTTTGGCTTCTTTTCTTTTGTCTTTTTGTCATGCTTTCTACATCTACGAATTCATTTCCTTTGTCAATTGTGGGGAAGCCTCAGCTGTCTTTTCAAATGTTACCTCTTCCGTTTCTGTCTTCTGTCCTTTGGAACTCTATGTAGAGGTATGTTAGAGCTTCCCAGCTTATCCTCACGTCTCTTGACGTCTCATTTTCCACCTCTTTCTCTCTCTCTGCTGTGTTGTGTAATTTTCTCAGATATGTCTTCCACTTTACTAGGTCTCTTTCAGTTATGTCTAATATGATACACTTAACCTATTCACTAAGTTTTAAATTGCATCAGCTATGTTTTTTCATTTTTGTAGGTTCCATTTGGTTACTTAATTTGGCCTATTCTCTTTTTCATGGTATCTTCCTTTTATATTTTCAATCATTTAAAGCTACGGAATTTTTTTGGTCAGATTTTTTAACATACAATTTACGTAGAGTAAAATTCCTCCTTTTTAGTGTGTGGTTCTGTTTTTTGACACACACATCAGGGTGTGTGACCACCAGCACAGGGAAGACGTAGAGCTGCTCCGTCACTCCCCCAGATTTCCTCGTGACCCGCCCTGCATCCTGACCCCCGGCAAACACTGCTCTGTAAAACCTACTGAGTTTACAATTTTTAATTGATAATACCTTCACATTGTTCAGGCAGTAAATATATGTGGAAATTCTTGCTCTCACCCACGTTCCTCTGCACTCCTACAGGCACACTTTTAGTAGTTTCTTCTATATCTTCCAGTATTTCTTGATGGAGGAACAAGCAATATACTTATTTTTTCCCATCTTTCTTACATAAGAGTCAGCATATGATATATACTCTGCACCTTGCTTTTTACGCATTTTTTAAAAAACAACGTGTCTTGGGGAGCGGTTCCAGTTTCTTAGGAGAGTATTGTATTTCATTTTGTGGATGTACTGTGTAGTTTAGCCATTTCCCTATCGATGAACACACAGCTTGTTTCTCAGTCTTTTGTAGACTGTGCTGTGGTGAACAATCCTGTATGCACGGTGTGTGTGTTGTGTGTGTGTGTGTGTTTGTGTCCTGGTCTGGACTGAGCTCTTTGAGGGAGTGGATTCTGTGTTAGTGATCTTTATGCCCCAACGTCCGGCACAGTGTTTGGTGCGTAGAGGTTTGTTGGTGCGAGTGGGGCTCGGGGGTGGTCAGTTGGTAGATATATCAGGAAGGTCAGTGTGACTGCTCTTATCTGACGGATTGCCTAAAAACAGAGTTTCTCAGGACGTCTGTGCCTGAGATGTCACGTGAAAAACATGTTACAGCTATAAAATCCCCATCTTGATAGTTTTATGCCTGATCACAGCTGGCTTTATTTTTCTTTAAACTAGAGGATGGCTTCTGAACTGCAGAACAAACTGCCACAGTGGTGATCTATTTTTGTTTTTTGGTTTGTTTTGTTTGTTTTTTACAGTATGGTATAGTTTTAGAGTGTATAGTTTAATATTCCTATACTGACAGGTGCCGTAGTTTTGTTTTTTTTTTTAATAATGAGATGGTTTACTGATTATAAAAACTTAAATAGAAAGGGTTTGGAGGTTAGAGAATACCCATTTTATTAAAATAACATACAGTATGTCAAAGACGTCTTAGTAATCACCCCAAAAGCAAAGCTGACATCATACCAAGAGGTGGATTAGTGGCTGACATTATTTCACATAGTCAAAGAATGTACGAGTGGGTGCCAACTTGACGTGAGGAAACAGCTCAAGTGGCACAGAGGATTTGCAGGATTTCTCCTGGGGACTGTATAAAATAAGAAACTTACCCGAATGGTGTGTGGTGCAAACTTCCTGTAATGGTTCTGAGTCACCTACTAGAGCTTTCCGATGTTTGAAGCAAGTCCTGATAAGACATCTTATCTTTCTTAAAATGTTCCTTTAACCCAGATGAGAAACAGTGCTAGATATTAGTAATTCTGGCTCAGCAATCTAGTTCCTTAGGCATGTGTAATTTTACACACGCACATCTGATCAAAACATGATTACCGTGCATTTATAGAAAAAACTATCAACAACAAAATGGTACAATTATATGAATGTTTCCATGAGAAAAATCAAGAGGAGCAAAGGTAAAATTTCAAGGAGACACATATCTACTAAGTGTCTCGTGTGTCTCTGTGATCAACGTGTTGGCTTTAATTTCTTGCGGGATTTCACAGACTCCCCAGCCCTGTAGTATGCTCTGCCGCTTTATATGAAGATGCACCTGACTGACTAAACTCAGTCTGACCAGGTCAGAAGTATTCTTTGCCAGGCTGGAACCTATCACACCTCTAAGAATAGGAGGAGATAGAAATCTCTTGTAAAGGTTAATATTTTTTTGTCAATCTCCCCTTCATGTGCTATTAAACTCTAACATATAGACAAAACAAATATTACATTAAAATTAAAGAAAACTCAGCATTTCCATACGTGTTTTCGTAATTTAAAAAAAAAAAAAATCCACCCTTTTCAGCAACCGCCCCTCAGAGTTTAGGAATGGTGCTGAGAACTGCTGGCTCTTCCCTGCCTCTGCCCAGCTTGCTTGTGAAAGACAATTGAAGACACCCTCAAAAGCATTCCGATATGATACCTAGGGGGAACCTTTTTGTGAGATTTTCCTTTTTTCTTGCTTGGATTTTTTTTTTTTTAACTTACTTTTTTTTGCTGGGGAAGATTGACCCTGACCTAACATCTGCTGCCAATCTTCCTCTATTTTGTATGTGGGTCGCTGTCACAGCACGGCTGATGACAAGTGGTGTAGGTCTGCACCCGGGAACCGAACCGGGGCCACCAAAGTGGAGCCTGCCAAACTTAACCGCTAGGCCACGGGGCTGGCCACCTGCTTGGATGTTTGACTTAAGCTTCTCGTGTGATTTGAGGCAGGAGTTGGAATATATGTCTTCATCAGGCTTTTCTTCCCAAGGTCCCTTCTCTGCATTCACTGGCCACCTTACCTTTGGACCTGTGGCTGCTTGAGTTAGACAGGCGGCCCTTCCTCAGATGGGACCTGGAGGAACTAGCTTTTGAAATAAGTTATAAGGTTTTTTTTGTTTGGGGGGGTTGGGGGAAGATTAGCCCTGAGCTAACATCCGTTGCCAGTCCTCCTCTTTTTGCTGAGGAAGATTGGCCCTGGGCTAGCATCCATGCCCATCCTCCTCTACTTTATATGGGACACCCCCACAGCATGGCTTAACATGTGGTGCGTCGGTCCACGCCCAGGATCCAAACCTGCAAACCCCAGGCCGCCGAAGCGGAGCACACGAACTTAACCACTGCACCACTGGGCTGGCCCCAGTTATAAGGTTTTTAAGATGATCTTTTAGGTTAAATAATATGAAGAAGGTCTTTCTGAAAAGACAGATTACAGACATGAAGTGTTTGTTTTTATTCTATACTTATTAATTGTTTTCTCTGTACCACAGGGGAAGGTGTGGCTAATTGATTTTAATCCCTTTGGTGAAGTAACAGACTCACTATTGTTTACTTGGGAAGAACTGATTTCTGAAAGAAACCTAAAAGGTGATTTTCGCGAAGGAGATGCTCTGGAGCAGGTAAGATGTTATACAAAGACATGAAGGCAACCTTTTAATCCTTTTAATTTTTAAATAACTGTTGCTTGTTCTTTAGGCCCTTGGATAGGCAATGACCTGTGACCTTGGGAAGTACAGATTACGATACAGGTTTACTCATAGCTCCTTGCCCGGGAAGGTGATCAAAAAAGGTTGTGCCTGCTGATTCATTCATTTCCCTTTATATAAGGAAATAATGACCATCTGATATATATTTTTCCTAGTTATTTTTCTTTTTATTGGCTCCTTCTGTCCTGCCCACCTTGACCCCAGGTCAGTTCATCAGTCTGTTTATTCTGATCCTGGCTCCAGGCTGCTGATGCTGATAGAGGAATATGCCCAGGTGCACAGACTGGGGTCTCTTCGCAATCATGACCCCAGATTTCAAGTGGGCCGTTCCTGCGGGGTTTTGTTTCCCTCATCAGCTTTCTCTTCCCTATCCACGGTGGCTATTGCACACCCTCACGCTCCTCACACCTTCCATCCCATCACTCCTCCTTCCTCCCAGCACATAATTTCACTTCCTTCTCACAGGAAAAGAGAATCTATTGGTGAGAATTCACTCCGTTTGTCATCAAACCTACAAGCTTATCTGAAGCCCTCCTCCTGAGCCTCGTCTCCGCCTGCCTAGCATGCCCATCCCTCCTCTCTCTCCATACCTTATACTGTCATTTCTCTTCTTCCTATTTTTCCAGTCTCTTCCTTTCTACCAACTCCTATCTATCAGTATTTAACCATTTTCAGATATCTCCCATCCAAAAAAAATAAAACCAAGTCAGCCCTGATGGCCTAGTGGTTAAAGTTTGCCACTCTCACCGCTTTGGTGGCCCAGGTTTGTTTCCTGGTCGCAGAACCACACCACCCATCTGTCAGTTTCCATTCTGTAGCAGCGGCTCACATAGAAGAACTGGAAGGACTTACAACTAGGATATACAACCATGTATTGAGGAGCTTTGGGGAGAAGGGAAAAAAAGAGGGGAAGATTCGCAACAGATGTTGCCATGTAGCTCAGGGTGAATCCTTCCCTGCCAAAAAAGAAAAACCTTCTTCAACCCCATGTCTTCACCCAGCTGTTCTCTCCTTCCTCCTTGTCTTCACAGCAGACTTTCTCTAAACAACCACTTTGTATTGCTTTTTTCTGCCTATAAAAGTAATACATGCTCATTTTAAAGGAAAATCTAAAATCACCCGTAATCCTACCACCTTGAGAACCACTGCTTATATTTTGGTATAGAACATGCCTATATTCATACACATAAACCTTTTTAAATAAATGAGATTATACTACATATGCAACTATGTATCCCAAGTTTTTCATTTATTATTATCTTATGAGTGTTTTATGTCTTTCAAAAAATAGTTTTATTTGTACATGGTCATTTTAAAAAACAGAGAGAATTACACCTAGAAATAGCCACCCTTACCACTTGAGTTAATATTTTTCTGGGCATTGTTTTGTGTGTGTACACACATTTTTACATATGTGGGATCATGCTAGTTTCACTCATGCACCCGTGTCACTTGCCTCTTTGTCACCGCTCAGTGGTTGTATGTCATCACGGCCACTTCTTCATACGGTCATCTCTGCTTGCTGCCTGCGAGCTCTTGCCCTTCTCCCTTGTGACCTCTTCACCCACTGCCAGTCAGCTTCTGTCCCCACCACTCCACAGACACTGCCCTGGGCAAGGGCTCCACTGCTGTGTCGCTAATTCCAGTGAGCGATGCACAGCCCGTCTCTTACTTAACTGCTTGGCAACCTTTGAACGTGTTACTCTCTTGTTCTTATAACACTTCTTCCCTTGGTTTCCATGACACATGCTCCCTCCTGGGTTTCTTCCTGCTTTCTGCCTGCTGCCTTGCCTTTCACGTGAGCATCTTTTCTTCTGTCCGTCTGTGAGATACTTCTTTTCATCATGACACCGTCCTGGGCTGTCTTGGGCCCTGTTTTTCTAGATCTGACTTAGGTCGATATTTTCCCTGTCAAGGCTCTCACCCTACTGCCTTGTACTTCTTGTTGACATGCCTGGGCCCTGCCTTGGACTGCAAGTTTCTGAGCACAGGGACAGTGTCTCTCTTGTTCTCCATGGATCTGCGGGGCTTAGCACAGTGCCAGGCGCAGCTCTTGTTTGTTGAGTTCACGAATGCAGGAATTTTATCCCTACTGGCATCTTACAGTCGTGGCCATTAAATCTGAGTGTCAAGGAAGGAGAATGTAAATTATTCAGCACAGGGTTATTTTTAAATAGGAGGGACACAGTTATTGGATAGAAACAGTTTATACAAGATTGACTCTATGATCCAAATCCTTTCTTTCTTTCTTTCTTCTTAATTTAAACAACTTTATGTTGAAGGTGGTGAGGATGACGAAAGGGAAACAGCAGCTGGCGCCTGCCTTTTCCCCAGCTTCTCCTCCTGCCTGCCTTCCACTCCTCCAAGCTCCAAAGCCCTACCTTAGGGTCTTGACACTGCCTTCAAAGCCGCCTCCTGCTCCTCAACCCTCACAAGGCTGCTTTCGTCATACTGCTCAGCTCTCAGTCCATATGTCCCCTCCTAGCAGGGTCTTACCTGACCCCCCTCTAAAGTAGTCCACATGGCTCTCCTCTGATTATAGCATCCTGTTGTCTTGTTTTATAACACTTTTTACTGTCTGAAATGATGTTAATTGATTTGTTCGCTTGCTTACTGGCTGTCTGCCAGTCTTGTTTACCAAGGTCTCTCTCATACCTAGAACAAGGCCCACACAAAGTAGGGGTTTTAGGAATACTCCTCAGATGACTGGTCTGTCTGTCATAAGATATGGCCTGCTTTCTAGGCCTCCATGGTCCTGTTCTGTTCAAGTTCCCGGCCTGTCTCCCTCTGCTGGACACCATCCATCCCTCACCTAGATATCTGCCACCCAGGAAGTGCAAACCCAAGGCCTCTGTCTCTGAAATCCTTTCGGCACAAGGCAACACGTAAATATTGTATCAAGATTCTAAGAAGTACATTGAAGAATGTGAAGACTCATTAAATATGACACTTGAATTTGCAGTTTTACATAGATGATGAGAGATACACAAATACCAAGTTAAATGATATCGGAGAAGTACGAAAGTGTGAGGAATCCAGAGCATTCGTTTGCCCTCACTATTAACTTTATTCTCGAAGGCAGTGCTTCCCGACTGCGCACCTGTAGAAAATGATAATGTTTATAATATTCTGGTCTGTACGAGATTGCTCAAGTCCAGAAATAACTAGCCTGCGGCCTCTGGCCCATTCAGGGACTAAAGAGATCCATAGCCTGTTAGCATTTAGGGATCGACCTAGCTGTCCATGAGGACACTGTTTTCAGGTCCTCATATTTATTTTCTAGTGAATATGTGGAAATACTTTAAAATCTTGGTGACTTCCTTTACCTCAAAATCTTATTTTCTTCCTCACCCGGTACAGAAGAGAACGTAGAGTTTAAATTGTTACGCTAGGATCTGTTTCAGTTTGGAGAGTAGACTTAAAAAAAGTTCTCACAGACTTTCCTTTTTTCTCTTTGTAAAGGATTCTCCAGCTTTCCGTTGCACAAACAGTGAAGTTACCGTTCAGCCGAGTCCCTATCTGAGCTGTCGACTGCCCAAGGACTTTGTAGATCTCTCCACTGGGGAAGATGCTCACAAACTCATCGATTTTCTTAAACTGGTAAAGTATATGGATATTTAGTGTGCTCGTCAGCTTTGTCTTCAAATTGGCTTTTTAATATTCCATTTTAGTCTTACACTGCCTAGACTTTTACTTGATGATTATGAATTAAAGGAGCAGAATTACTGTGTTAGGTCATTTTATAGTGAAGTATGTAATGTGAGTTGAAGGAATAATTTATTTAATAATTTATTAGAATGACAGAAAATGTTTTTGTAATGTGCATGCTTTTTGAATAATTTTTATAATACTTCTAGTTTTGAAGAAAGTGTGTAGACTGTTACAGGGCTAACTGAAGATCAAGTCTCTGCCGTGGCTCCTTAAGGGGGAATGTGAATATTTGTGTTTGTGTGTGTGTTGCTGGGTGGGAATGTTTGTACGTATGGAAGAAAGAGAAGAAAATATTCAAATACCCGAGGAGAATGTGCCCCAGAGCCAAAGTGATAAAGTGGCTTAACGCATTAGTTAAGGCATGTTTTTCCATGATAATTTTCAACCACATCTTTTGCCAAGGCCTCTAGGAAATTACACTTGCTGACAGAAAAAGTCATCTTGGCTGAACAGATATCCCAGTTGGAATGTGCTGTTTTAATGTAGTCTTGATTTCCTTTGACAGAAAAGAAATCAGCAAGAGGACGAATGACCAGAGTGCCAGAGTTCAAGACCGAGTTACAGAGGAAACCACTGCTCCTTCGGGAGGCTGCTCATGGTTCACGACTTCCTACTGACCCAGTCGGATGGGGTGGGGTGGGCTATGTGGAAATCAGTAGCTTTTTATATTCATGTATATTAAGCTGGAAAAAAATGGAAGGACTTTGCTACTTGTAAAAATAATGTAATAAATAGATCTTAAACATAGGAAACCATACTGTTCTGATGATAAAATACTTTCTATGAAATACCTTTCTCTTTTGGCACAGTCTGTCTCGATTTATCTAGGTTTCTTGTGCTGTTTTTATACCTGTCAGGTAGATGGGCAAATTTATTTTTATTATACAGAAATGGATTCTTTCCTAATCATTACTTTTCCTCTGAAAAAATAGAATCTTTTATTACTATAGAAAATATTTTTCCTGCTTTGAGGATTTTCATATAATTTTCCTATCAGTTTAGCATAGCTGAAAGAATACAGACTTCTCGATTGGCACGGATGTTAGCTCAGGGACAGTCTTCCTCAAGCGAAAAGAGGAGGATTTGCAACAGGTGTTAGCTCACGGCCAATCTTCCTACCAAAAAAAAAAAAGAGAAAAAGAATACAGACTTCTCAAACTATCAACTAATCATGAAAATTTCAGTATATTACAACCACCTTAATATACATTAGTAAAATGATCACAGATTTAATTACAATTTGGCCTTTTAAAAAAATACTGGAGGGCCGGCCCTGTGGCTTAGCGGTTAAGTGTGCGCTCTCCGCTACTGGCGGCCCGGGTTCGGATCCCGGGCGCACACTGACGCACTGCTTCTCCGGCCATGCTGAGGCCGCGTCCCACATACAGCAACTGGAAGGATGTGCAACTGTGACATACAACTATCTACTGGAGCTTTGGGGGGAAAAAAAAGGAGAAGGATTGGCAATGGATGTTGGCTCAGAGCTGGTCTTCCTCAGCAAAAAGAGGAGGATTACCATGGATGTTAGCTCAGGGCTGATCTTCCTCACAAAAAAAATAATAATAATAAAAAAATACTGAAAGTTTGGGGCAGTAGATTCTCTTTTTTAGGCCACCATTTTAGTAATTATTCTTCAGTGCCCTAATTGGTGATGATGATGGCTAATTGACTCAGCACTGACTGTATGCCAAGACAGTCTGCCAAGTGCTCTTTGTGTATTATTTTATATCATGGAGCAATCTGAAGGAAATAGACATTACAGTTTCCCAGGGTTTCTATCTAATGTGGTCTCACAGAATATTTTACTAGCTGGAGTTACGTTTCTCGTCACAGGAGAGCACATATGAGTCCTGCCCATAAGAAGATATAGAGAGAAGTGGGGCGAAGTTTCCCCTTTCTGTGCAGTGAAGGCAGATTCTGTACAATGGTGAAAAATATCATTTCTTTTTTGGTTATCTCAAATTCTTTTTATGTGGTTTTTCCATTGCAATAACGTGATATTAGTATTTTAAATACAAAACACAAAGATCCAGTTGTGATCCTTGTGCTCAGTGTGTCAAATGCCGTTCCTGACGCCAGTTGTTTGAGGTGCAGCTGCTTTAAAAGTATTTTCGTTGTTTTAAACTGCACACGAGCGTCCGTTAACTCATGACGGAGGGATTTATTATCATGAGCTTAGCTCGGAAGCTGGCTTCACCAAGATGGTGCTTTACCAGTCACAGAAAAAAAAGTAAATGTATTTGATACTAATTGAAAAAATTTAGGCAAAAAGAATAAAAAGACTCGAGCACAACTTGGCAAGTATTTCATAAATAGTACAATTAGTGGTGTAAAACATTAAATTTTTATATTAATTTTCCTGAGGAAATTGTTGAGTTCAACTCTCGCTTTACTTTCAAAAATGTGATTTTTGTATGTTGTTTCCTTAGTATATTTAATTTTAGTTGATTTGATGTTAATATTAAATATAGGATAATATGCAGGAAATAGTCTCCTAAGTTCAGATATCACTTATGCCCGCCTAAAGATTAGTTTTGAATTATCCTTTTATTTTATTGGCACTGTCTGTTCTTTCTTTGGCATTGTGCTTGAATGTAGAAAGTGAATACCTGTGATTCCTTAGCCCAGTCCTGAAATCCTGCCTTCTGAAGAGACAGCATCACAGCTGGTGGTTCTGATGGGTTGGGGTAAACACGTTGACTCTGTCCTGCAGGCAGTGGCATGTAGCGTGGGCCTCCATACAGCGGGCTCTGCCAAAAGTCCTGTTTAAAAAAGTCATTTTGATTTGCGTTTTCTGAGTTCATGATTTCTTCCCGTCTACTCAGGCATTTCTTTTTTTGGTAATTGAGGATTGTGTCTGTAGAAAAAACAAACAAACCTTATGCGACTGAGGTTTTTTTGGCTCAGGTTTGTTTTCTTACCTTATAGAGTGGGAGAATAATAATGATAAGTTCATGATCTGTTCAAATAAGATAACCCATGTAAAAAACTCTTCATTGATGTGAGCATTGTCCATAATAAGCCCCCAACAAATGGTAGGTGTTAGTGTCATTCTGCTTTGCAGACCTCTGTATACTAAAGGCAAATTCTTTTTAACAGAATCAAGAAAATTTTGAGTGGAAAGGGACTTCAGAAATCATTCAGCCCGGTTTCTTTTTTTTCCCTCCCTGCCTCTCTCTTTCTCTAATTTCCTTCCTTCCTTTTTTAACAGAGGAGTAAACTGCTTGCCCAGGGGAGTTAAGACTTGTCCAAAATCTTGATTGTAGCAGAATCAGGACCACAAAGGGACTTCTAGTCTGATGCTTTTCTCTAAGGGTTTTTAGCCTAATATTTTTTATAGGAAGTTTCAACCAGGACAAACTATTATTTTAATAATATAATTTTCAAAAAAGAATAGTTTTTTAAATAAAAGTACAAATTCATCTCACACGTTTGTATGTAGAAGAATTAAATAAAAGATTAAAAAGAGAAATTAAAAGAAGAAATAACAGTCTTTGAAAGATTAATTCAATTTCATGTTTATATTAACCAGGCTGATCTTGAGAGGCGACTTAGCCATTTTTAGACATTTTAAAGACAGGATTCCTGTTGAAAAGTTATTGTCTTAGTCATGTGTTGTCTTGGCTCATAGAAAACAGTTTCAGTTAAGTATGCTAAGAAAATAAATAGTAATAAGCTCACCATTCCTACACAGTGCAGGTGTATTATGTATACGTGTTAAGAAGATGCTTGAGGAATGGGAATATAAGACCTAGGAACAAAAAAGTAGTTGGAAGAAGTAGCTGAAAGCCCCATATTATGGGGTTGGGCAGAGTCCGGCATTAATTCTCTGTAGAGAGAATGCATTCAAATGTGTCTTTTTTTCACTCAAGGGAAACCAAAATAAAATAACACTTCTGAATATATGTAGGCTGTTTGAAAAACTAACAGAGTGGAGCACTGAGAATGCGGCCGCAGCGACTCATTTATTCCGTGAATATTTTATTGGGTCCAGGACAGCGTTAGGTGCTGCGTAGACATCCTGAATGTTCTGCCTTCACAGACCATGATAAAGAGAAATTGTGATGAGCAGGTACAATAAAAATGAAGAATGGCGTATTCCACAGACATCGACTTTGATGACAGAAGGAATCTCTGAGGAGGCGATAGTTAAGCTGAGACCAGCGGATGAGAAGAAACCAGCCAAGTGAGGAGAGGCAAGTACTCCACACAGGAGCACGCACCTAAGACAGTGCTGAGGTGGGAAAGGCTTTAGTGGAGGTGCAGCAACTCGAAGAAGACCCCTAGGTGAGGGGAGAAATGGGCAGGGCCCGGCTCATGCCAGGGCCTTTTGCCCATGGTAAGATGTTGGGATTTCATTCTCAAGTGAGGTGGGAAGCCATGGGGAGGTTTAAGCAAAGGAGAGACAATCTGATTTAGGGTTGTGAAGTGTTATTCTGGTTTCTGTGTGGAAAGCAGATGAGTTAGGAGAACGGTGCCTACTAGTGATGATGGTGGCTTCACTCTGGGACTGGCATTGAGAGGAAATGAGGCAGAAGGATTTGGGATGGAGTTGAGAGGAAGCAATGACGGGATGTGGGGTGTGAATCGGGACTGATGCCGAGGTTTCTGATTTGAGCTACCGGGTGGAAGGTGATGCTGTTTTTCTAAGAATGTGAAAGACTAAAAGAGGAACAAGTTAGGGAGAGAAATCAAGATTTTGGTCTTGGACATGAAGAATTTGAGGTTCCAGTGACTTATCTAAAGAAAGATGTCAAGAGACAATTGGATAGAATTCAAAAGGTAGTGTGGGCTAGAAATAAAAATTGGAGGAGTTAGCACATATTAGCATTTAAAACGATTGGAATGGATGAGATTACCTAAAGAGAAGAGGCCCAAGGCTTTTCTGAGGGAAATCCAACAATTAGCACTTGTGTAGAATAGTAAGACTTGACTGAAAAGTCATGGCAGATGAGGAAAGAAAACCAGGAGATGGCTTGTGTTGAACTATGAGAGACACTGCAAAGTTGAATAAGATAAAAATATTGTTCTTATGTATCGCGAGTAGTGATCTTGTAATTTGTTAAAAGACCTACTGTGAGTGTTTAATGTGAATTTAGACTGGTGATTCTTACTGAGTTTTAGGTATTCAGTATAAATCTCTTCACACAACCGAAGTTAATATTTAGCAGTATAATTATTTGGGGATTCTCTGATCATTATTTAATTTTATTAAAGCCTCAGTGTGAACTAAAGATGACTTAAATTGTACTCTCTGCATCACTGATATTCTTGCCTGTTCAAGACTCATGCTCAATGTGTAACGTTCTTCAGTGCATTATCTCACCATGTGTTTCTGGAGTTTTAATCAAGTAAAGACTTAAACTGAATTTCTCCTACTGAATTTCTCCTACTAATTACAAGTGGCCTGCTCCCAGTTCTCGAAAAACAAATGTACAAAACATCAGCAGTAATTTTGGGATAAGATGAGCAGCTGGGGACTCGACTACCCATTCATAGTGTATGTACAGTCAGTCATTGGGGAATTGAGTATAAATAACAAAACAATCTCCAAAATAAGCTACAACCATTCTTAATAATTTGAGGGGAAATCGATTTTTTGAGACTCTGGAGAAAATTATAACTCTCCTCAGAAAAATTTTACATACAATTTGAGGGAGTCATAGACCCCAGGTTAGGAACCCCTGGGCTAAAGCCACATAGGATGAGATTAGAAGCCAGTGCTTCTGCAGGTGTAGAATGGAGCCATTTTGTAGTGTACCTCAGAAAAGCGGAGCACACAGCTTTAGTC